CACACACACACACACACACACACACACACACACACACACACACACACACACACACACTTGAAAAAGAGCAGCTGAGCAAACACAGAGCTGTCTGTCATGACAGTGCAGTCAGTCTGGGATGTATGACTCATTTTCTGTACAGAAGGTGGTGGATGTGATTTTTATTTAAAAACAGGAGCATGCTGATTTCTCTCACTGGTTTTCAATTAAACATCCAGACTTAATCACTTTGTAATGATTAAAGAAAAACAAAAAATATATTCTTACCATTTTCAGCAAGTGGAGCCAGAACCTCAAAAATCATTTCCTTCTTCTCGTGCTCTGTCTGCTTCTGGAAGAGACGCACCAGCTCCTCAGCGATGTTGGTGGAGGCAAACTGCTCTTTGCTGGACTCTGAAGAACAAGACGAATTGGCAGAAATGTTGATTTAGTTCCCAAAACTCAGATAAGTTCACGGATATGACGTAAAAGATCAGAACGTCTGAATTATTACTAAATTAACTCAATAGAGATCAGTTTAGTTTTATTCATCCTTTCATTTTTATCTCCACGCTTTAAATTTACTATCAGTTATCTCCCGTCACTGATGTTGGAGCTTTGATAATGTGTTAGCAAAATGTCTCACAAACCAGTAAACAAACCTGAATGAAAGTAACAGGAAGTCATTACTGGATTTAGAGTCCAATACATCCAAGATGGCTGCCACTGCTAAAAGACCATCAGAAAAAGGGCAGTAAATCAGCTAATTTAATTAAAATACTGAACTCAAAGTTGGTGTGGTAGTAGCGGAGAGTAGCTTCAGTCAAAATTAATTTTGAAACTTTTTTTATTCAGCAGTTCAGAGCATATTACCAATTTCCTGCAGCTGGTGGAGACATCAAAGGCTCACATCATTACTCACCTGCTCCCAATCACTTTGGGACTAAATTTAGCATCTTATTTAACTCCAATGTAGGGTTGGGCGATATTGGCAAAAAAAAAAAAAAATTAGTCACGATTAATTGTGGTATTTAGCCAATAAAGATTAATTTGACGATTAATCCCCTGGAGTCCCTGAACACCCTTATGTCCTAGTCACATGACCAATTTAGTGGGAAAGATTTGATCTTCATAAAAATCTGTTCCAAATTGTTTCAAAATTACAGACTTCAGGCTGTACATCAAATTTTAAATTGTGTTGATAGATAAATAAATTACAGAACCTTTTTTTTAATGTTCATCATATGTGAAGCAGAGAGGAGCACCGAGCAGACTCTGCCTAGTGGCATTAATTGTATTARTCGTCAAGTGCCAAAAAGTAATCGATTAAAGTTTTTCTGACGATTAATTGCACACGATACGATTATGCTCAACCCTACTCCAATGCATCCCGAGTTTCATCGAACAAACAAACCCATCGTGTGCCTGTAAAACAAACTCTTGCTAGCAGAGAGAGCGCCCCCAAGGGACAGATCAGCCACAGAGGGAACACCCAGCCTGTTGAAGTGTCTCAGTGTGACTCAATGTTTCTGCTGCTTTAGTTCTTGGTTATAAACAATAAACAGTCAAGATGTTCATGTTTGTAGTTTCAGTTCTTTGCAACATAAAGAAGGTTTTGGTTATTTGGAATAAATGAAGGGAGAAATCTGTCAGTCTGGCAGATGTAAAATAATATTTTAGGTTATTTTATTAATTGTGCTGTAATTTTAAAGGATCTTTTGAATAGAACAAAAGTTGTATGCAGGGAAAACATAAGGTTATGAATATAACCACGGTTCCTTGAAGGAATGGAACGAAGTACAACACACAGTTGTATATGGGACACGCGCGCCCTCGTGCGCCTGGCTGAAGCCACCTCTAATCACGTCTTTAGATCGGTGACGTGGTGACGTTGAACGTTGGGTGACAGGCTCCGCNCCTTACATCCTGTGTGCGGATGATGTAAGTGTGTAGAGCACGTATGGGGTACAGAAGATGCAGCCTCTTTTGCTCCTCAGATGCAAAAGTTGTGGGGTGAAAGCTGGAAAGTTCTATAGACATAGAGCTGTAACTAGAAGGTACAGTGGGGAAAATAAGTATTTAGTCAGTCACCAATTGTGCAAGTTCTCCCACTTAAAAAGATGAGAGAGGCC